CAATAAAAAAATGCATGCTTTAAAAACTATGATACATACAAACGTACATATTGATATACATAACTAATATGTGTCTGTGTGTTAACTTCATTAAGAAAAAAGAACACAAATGAATGTTTTTTCAATATCCTAGAATATGGAAGACTTTCTAAGCATGAAGTCAGAAGTCACAAAGGAAAATGTGATAAATTCAACCATGTAAGAACTTTAACTTCTTTATAGAAAAACAAAAATGGAAATAAACTGAATAATAATATCTGTAACATGTTAACACAAAGAGCTGATTTTCTTTACAAGAAAACTCTTAAATCAATTTTAAAAAACAAATAACAATAGAAAAATGGGCAAAGGTGACCAAAAAAAGTTTACAAACATTAAATACAAATAAAAACATGATAAAGCTCATTCATAATTAAATATAAACAGTATTATAATATTTTTTCACCTATCAAATTGACATTAACTAAAATTTTTGCTAATACCCAGAGTTGGTAATAGTAAAGAGAAATGGGTTTTCTTACGCATTATTGGTGGAAGTGTAATTGGTCCTACTTTTGAAAAACAAACATGGTACTAGGTATTGAATTTAAAATATGGGTACTCTCTGTCTCCATAGTTCCAAAGTCTAGGAATTTATCCTACAAAACATATTTCCATAACCAGGAAAGATATAAGACATCTATGTTGAGTTCAGCATTTTTTTTCTAAAACTGAGAACTGGTGACAATTAAATGTCAATAAATAGATTAATTACATTAAGCCATAGCCATAAAATTAAGTTTAATATAGTTATCCAAGAGAATGAAGTAGATACTGGAAAGAGGTATAATATATACTATTTAGTAGGGTCAGGGGAAAGTAGAACATAGTACAGAGAAAATTTCTGTAAAGATACAGAAGAAATTGCTAACTATGAAAAACAATAAAATCAGAGGACTTGAGGAAATAGAGACTTCTTTTCCCTTTTTTCTGTGTTGCTTAGACTTTTTTAAAAAGACTATCTACACCTTCTTCACTTTAAAACAAATCAAACTGTAACTATTAAAAAGTACTTTTGGGGATGGGGTTGTGGCTCAGTGGTAAAGTGTTTGCCTAGCATGCTGAGGGACTGAGTTTGAGCCTCAGCACCACATAAAAATAAATAAAAATTTTTTAAAAATCTCATCAACAAATATCATAACAGATATCCAAAAGAAAAAAAAAAGTACTTTCATTTGTAGTGTAGTTGTGAGAGAGAAAGGACATGAAAAGGGTAAGAAAAAATAGAGGTTTAGGACCACTAGTCCAAAAGGCAAGTTTAGCTCAGACTGGCCTCTCTCCTCTCAACCAGCCCTAATTCCCCTTGGACAAGAAATCAGAAAGGTTGTCACCCCCACAAACCTTCTGCCCCTCTGTACCCCTGGATTTTGAATTTGGGGCCTGAATTATTCACCACCAACAAATTATATGTCATGCCCAGACAATAGCATAAATAATACGAAAAAGGAAATTACTTGTTTAGCTTTAGATCATGTGTATTTTATAATTCCCATTTGAATACAGACACATGTACCTTTCCATTTTGTTCAACAAGTACAATCTTCTAAGGCTCTAATGCTCAGTACTAAGAAGAGAGCAACAGCAAAATAAAGTGTAGTATCTATCACAAAGTAACTCAAAAATTTAGTGAAGGAGAAAAACACACAGCTGACCAGGGGGTAGCTTATCCTAGTAAAGGTTTAGTGGGGGAGGGGGCGTGCCCCATCCGGAATCATCATAGGTTTTACTGACAAGATGGAGAATCTGTGAGAGAATTCTGTAGCATCACCTAATCTTTACCCTGTTTTCTATTTTCTTTTTTTTCTACATTTATGTAAAACAGGTAGATCTGACATCTGCCCTTTCTCTTACTGCTTAATTCATATCACTGAATAAAATGTTACCTCTCCTGTATAAGAAATCAATTAATGTTGGGTATATGCTTCTAGTATTAAATACTTACTAAATGCCTTAAGCATTTCTTTGAATAAAGTTGTATTCATTTGAGGGCTGTTCATTATACCCATAAGCCACAGATATATCCCCCAAATTCCAGTAAATTAATTTATAAACTATCTCTTAGCTATTTCTTATATATAAGTTCCATTTATGGGTTCAGATTTTTGGTTCAGAAAAAAATAAGCCACCCTAGAACAGTCATAAGAAAAGCCAGTTAGGACTTCAAGTCTGTAATGGAAAGTACACAGTAATCTAAGCACAAAAAAATAAGCCCTATTGTTATTTTGTCTATGTGTGTGCTTCTGTTTGCATTGTTTTCCATATAAAATTGGTCCAGTCGTAGATGGGTATAGAGCTGCTGCCCTTGCTGAGAGAAGAGGAAAAGCACATGTCACAGAACTTAAACATAGAAGTTTAAATGTTTTTTTCCTATACTTAACACTCCAGAGGTTTTCAACATGCTTAGTTATAAAGAGTGAAAGTTTTACAAAGAGCAGTGTTTGAATCTGGGCTACACCACTCAGAGAACAGAGATACTCACCTGTCTCTGAGTTTCACTTTCCCCATAGGTTTAACTTTCTTACCTCACAAAGCCATCATACAGATTATTAAAGTCACAGGCACAATCCAGTAGGTAAAACACCTACCAGTTGGCTAGCACAGAGAAAGCCACCAATAAATGACAGGAAAAACAATCATTATTATTATTATTAATATGAACTCTAACTCTGGGAGCCAGTGGAGTAGGCACACATCTGGGGACCCAGAAAGCAAGAAGTAGAAAGTACAAAGTAAGCTGCTTTTTGCAGGGCTTAGAAAAAACAGACTACATGATTTAAATTACGATAACTCTCAGAACAAGTCCAACACAATGGCTGGGAATATATGCTCTGGAATCTACTCTAGAAATTCCATTTTACCACTTATTTGAGAAAATTCCTCAAAGGTGTCCTTTCCTCAAAGGAGAAGTCCTTAAAGGAGATTTCCTCTCCTCAATTGAAATGGAGCTGATAATGGTCCTTCAAAGTAGGGACTTTGTGAAGGTTAAAATAAACACTGATCATGGAATGCTTTTAGCACAGCTTCTGGTAACAGTACATATTGCAAATGCAGACTCTCAGGCTGCCCACTGAAACCCCTGAAGAGCCTGCAACACTGTATATATTTCAGATACTGTGTCAACAATATAGCCTATTGCAGTTAATTAATATTTTATTTTATTAATTGGTATAGTATTTTTCAATAATTATTACTTTTTTAAATTCTTTTTTGTAGTTGTAGATGGACAGAATGCCTTTATCTGTTTGTTTATTTATTTATTTTAGTGATGCTAAGGATCGAAACCTGTGCCCCACACATGCTAGGCAAGTGCTCTGCCACTGAGCTGCAGCCTCAGCCCTACTGTGAGTAGGACTGTGAAGCACTATACTATACTATTGACACTGCATCTGAAATATATACAGTGTTGCAGCCTCTATTTAGATTTCTTTCAGTAGCTTCACAATCCTATTCATAGTAGCTTTTGAAAACCAGTAATAATTATTGAAAACTATTCAAAAATAGGGAAATATATAAAGTAAAAAGTATGCTCTTCCATTCACTGCCCCAGGTCCCACTTCTGCCTTCCAGGGGAGACAACAGGAAAGCACTGCAGCAGGCACTCTTCGGTTCTTGTCCCTCAAAATATACATGGGGGTGAATTTTTCATAAATTGGGATCTTATTATCATACTATGAATCAACTATTTGTTGATTCAACCCTTGACTTCCTCTCCATGTCCATGCATAAAGTCCTAACTCATTCTTTTAATTGCTGCTTAGCTTGAGAATATGGGTAAACCACAATGTATTAATCCATTATACTACATATTTAGTTTACCTCTAATTTTGTGCTAATAAAAATAAGCTCACAATGAACATCTTGTTTGAGGTGCATTTGGCACATGTATAGTTATTTCTGTTGGGTAGTTTCCAAAAGTGGATCTGCTGAGTTAAAGGTCTTAAACACTTCACATATTGATAAATATTGTCAGATTGTCCTCCAAAGAGGAGGTACCCACATACTATCTGTCAGTAACCAACTTTTTTTAAAAACAGAAACCAAAAGTACACTATCATGTAGAAAAAAAAAAAAGATTTTGATGCTGAACATTGGTCTGCTTCTTCAAATACCGACAGGAATCACAGTTCAAACTCTTATCCTTCCCAGGACTTGGGCCTCTATGCTATTGACTAATCTCACACTGTGGCCTCCAATGCAATGACATGGTTCATTTCAAAACCAGTTGTTTAGCACATCCCAGCCCTGTCTGGAAGCCAATTCAGTGGAGAGGGAAAGGACTCAAAACCAAAGTAGGCTGGGGTTGTGGCTCAGTGGTAGAGCACTTATCAGCATGTGTGAGCACTGGGTTCGATCCTCAGCACCACATACAAACAAAGATGTTGTGTCCACCAAAAACTAAAAAATAAATATTAAAATTCTCTCTCTTTCTAAAAATAATAATAATAATAATAATAATAATAAATAATCTACCTACAACTAAAAATATATATTAAAAAAAAAGACCCAAAGAGTTCCTGTCATCACCTAGCAGTCCTGCCAAGCCCCACTAAAACAGAATTATTCCATTGCAATGCTCACATAAAAGCTCTACTCCATTGCTATGTTTTAAAGCAGTAAAGGATTAAAATCTCTTAATCAATAATCATTGGTCTACAGGTAGTTTACACCTTTCATTTTGCCCCACAATATTATTATAGTAAGGAGCAAGAGCAGATAAAGGTCATGTTGGTAATTAAAGCTATATTGTAGAAATATGCACATCCAAGATATGATTAAATAAGAAAATATTACTCAGTTCAGTATCATCATTAAACTTGTATTAATTTATAAATATTTAAATGTACCATATGATGATCATAAATAATCTGATTTTGTCAGTTTCTAAAGTAATACAACCCATAAACCCTTTGAAATATTACTGCAGAAAGAAATAGTCAAGAAAGTATTCAAGCCACACTTACATTCAAATGCTGTAGTTGTTGCTTCAGGCAAAACCTGGCCTATCACATCCTAAACAAAGAAAGAATAAAGAAACACAATTAGCCATCTTCTTTATTGCTAACATGTGGCAAATTCTAGAGGAAATATGAGAACCTGGGAAAGCTTTTTGAAATGTTGACATAAACTATAAAAACATTAGCTCATAATCACACTTAGCCCATCAAAGTATTCCCAGACTTTAAATCTCTGTTCCAAGGAGAAAAATCTTCAGGAAATTTCTAGATTTGTATTAATAACAATCTTTTACTCTCAATTCAACAGAGCACGCAACTACACTATTGTGTATCTACACACACACACACACACACACACACACACACAAATGGTTTCCTCTGTGGGAGGCTATGGAATGTACTGCAGGGGAAAGAGAAAGGAGTCTAGGAGTCAGGCCACCTTAGTTTTGGATCTCAACTCTTTGTTAGATGCATGACTTAGAAAAACAAAATCACTTAAACTCTCAGAGCTTCAATCTGATTATCCTCCAAGATGGATCTAGTAATATTCTTGGACGTACTGTAAAAACTAAATAACATAGTAAATATAAGCCTGGGAACTGTCACATTGTAGACATTCAACAAAGGTGGTTCCTGTTATGAAACAGGCAAGTGCAGCCTTGCACTCACAGTGGTAGGAGTGAAGCACATGGGTTTCCATGATGATGATCTAAACCTATAAAACAACATTTCACACACAGAGTTCTTATCAGCCCTTACACTTCAGCAATAGAAAACATATTTAATGACACCAAAATAAAATTTAATCTAGCCTATGAAAAAGTCAAAACAGTATAGAGAATCTCATGTCAATGTGAATCCAAAAAGCTGAAACACTCAAAGATTACTCTAGAGACAGTTTAAATGAAGAGGCACAGAACACCCGAGTTCTGGAGAAAGTGACCCTGCATTATGTTCAGTCCCATCCGAATGTCCTGCAAACCTCCTTTCTCTCTGAGAGCCCTCCCACAATGTCCCTGCCAGGCTGTGCCAGAATTGGCACCAGGCAGCCAGCTGACAAAGCCTCAGCCGCTTGCAATATTTCTCAGCAGGGAGCCCACAGCCCTTCCAAGCAGGGCACTTAGCAGAGTAGCGGCTGCAACTTCCTCTAAAGGCAATTCTTTAGAAGCTTTTGCTGCAGTGGCAATTTGCATAATAGTCTTGCCTCTACAGTGTTTTTTTTTTTTAAATAAATCTATGCATATAAAATTGATCAAAGAGAACTGTCTTAGGCAGCCCTTGCTCATTAGAGTCAAAAGAGATTATGTTTTCTCTGACTCTAGTCTTAGCAAATGAAACATCAACTTTCTGAGGAAGTATCTGTAAAAGATTTTAGGGTTAGAAAATTCTTTCTACATACTTAAAGGGAAAAAGTAGTTTTTTGACAGGAAAACGCACAGTTAAGTACAGAATAAAGGACTCAGGCATCTCAATGAAAAACTCAAAAGCATCAACTACAACCAGGCTGCTAGGGCTGGATGCCGCTCCGCCTCTCCCCAGCTGGGTGAATGAACCTCTCCATGCCTCAGTTTCCCTATATGAACAAAGAGAGCATAACTGTACCCACCTTGTAGAACTAGTAAGTTAATAATTGTAAAGGGCTTAGAAGAGTATCTAACACATGGCAAGTGTCATATTAGTGTCTGTTAAATGAGTAAATCACTGATCACTAGAACATTACAAAGCTTACCTCATGTTAAACCTTTAAATTCAGTGGAGGAGGAGGATAATTTGCTCACTGGCTCCACCCCTTCTCCGTATTTAATAAAGACCCTTTTTTAACCAGTATGGAAAAAATGGGGAGGTTATCACTGGTTACTTCCAAAGAGCCCCAAACACTCTGACAACCAAATTTGAGATGTGAACTAAGTCTCTGCAGAATTAACAATCTAACTTAGACTCCTTCCTTCTTAAGAGTAGCAGACCCCATCAAACAGAAAATTTCTAATAACCAGCTGAAACCCCTGCTGGGCAGCAATGGCATGCTTTGCCCATCAATATAAATATGGCGCCCCACATGTTTTACATCTGACAGGAGAAAAGAGAGAAAAATAGCAAATTTGATTGAGAGAATCATGCAAACACAGCTGACCATTTTGGGTTTTTTAAAAATAAATAAATAATGACAAAGGGGTAAAAAGTCTGAATATTATTAAATATCTCCTGCTCATTTTTAAGCAGGGTACATTTAATGATTCCATGTATATTTTCCAGTTATATTTAAAGGACTTATTTCCAAGTGACTTTCTCCTACCTTTAAACAATATAACCTTTTACCTCACCTTGTTTCAAAATGAAATGAAATTTACATATCTTGACAGTGATCATTTCTTGATCCTTCTCCTTCCTTTCGATAAATTGGATAAATATCTGAGAGACCAAAAATATAACTGAGCGCCTACATACCAGGAGCTTTTTAAGTAGGCTCTAGAATAATGACTTGTTCCTTGACTTCAGGAAGACTAGAATCTGATCAGAGATAAAGTCTAACAATGTAAGGCACTTCTAGTATAAGAGCCAAACTAAAGATATAAATAGCAAATAGTGTTTGCTAACTCGGGAGGAAGGAAAAAATCACAGGCTTCATTTAGGCAAATTTTACAGATGATGAAAAATCAGGAGCTGGGACTTACAGACGGGGTACAAAGAACAGAGGGAGAAGACTGGGCATTCTCTTCTACCATGTGCTAAACCAATGTAAATCCTGCACAGGTTTCCTAGAACTTAAGGACTCAGTCCCAGGGAGAAGAAGAAACCCAGAGAGCTGAAAATCAGACACAGTAGATACCCAAATGCCTCTGCCCTTAGGGACCAAGTAGACCTCCTTCACACTGTAGCTAGTGCTAGATGATCAGACAAAAGACAAGGTCCAGAGAGGCCCACTGACTTACCCAGGGTCTCCCAGAAGTTTGGTGAAGAGCCCTGAACAACTCACATGTGGTCTGCGATGTTCAATTATGCTAACTCAGTGATGCAGCATGGCTTCTGTTAAGTTCTGCCAAACACTAGCTATATATGGTTTCAGCAAGGCATTTTCCCTCTGGGGTTCATGCCTCCACATTTGAAAACTGAGAAGGTGGGAGTAGGAAGCAAGTAGGTTAGAAGAGATGTTTCTAGCTTTCATATAACTTTGAAGTTTAAGATTCCAAGCCAGAGATAATGACATTCTGTTGGGGGTTTTTTGCCTTTTCTTGATAAAAGATGAAATGAAATGGGAGAGCAGACCACAGGGATCTCTTGGCTTGCATGCTGGCAGAACTCCCTAGGAAACCACACAGCACCTACATGGGGCCTTCTTGACAAATATACTCCACCTAGACTTACAAGAGCAAGGCGGACATATGGCACTCTGAGCACTAGCAATGGGGCCATTTGAGCAGTGTCTCCTTTAGGCCACAAATCCTGGGTCAGGAACAATTTGGAAGTGCTCAAGAAGCAGAAAACCAAGAGCCTATCCCTTATGTTGTAGTGACAACACTTCGAGAGCACTTACTATACGCTAGATTGTTCTAAGTGCTTTGTACGCATCAACCCAAGCAGTCCTTACGACTCTATGA